TAAACAGGTTTATGTGTATATTAAAATGTTTATGAACAAAGTGATGAGTTACAATGTATCCAAAGTTTTGAATTGTACATATAAGGCCAAAGTTTGAATTGTATATTTAAGGCCAAAGTTTGAATTGTATTTATAAGGCCAAAGTGTTGAAATAAAGGTCTGAATTATAAGCAGGTTTGTGTAATATAAGCAGGTTGTTGGTAAAATATATAAAACAGGGTGAATATTTAAATTTTTTTTTTTTTAAATCTGGGACATTAGACAGCGCTTTTACAAAAAAGTGCTGCTAAAGGTCACAAACATTACGCTACAAAAGCGCTGCTATAGGTTTGGAGGGGGGGGGGGTCTAAGACAGCGCTTGTAAAAAGCGCTGCTAAAGGGTGGGCTATGACAGTGCTTTGTAAAAGCGCTGCTAAAGGTGGGGTCTAAGACAGCGCTTTGTGAAAGCGCTGCTAAAGGGGGGGATGGTTGGGGGAATTATGCAGCACTTACAAAAGCGCTGCTAAAGGGCTAAAAAAGCGCTGCTAAAGGTGCTGCTGAAGGGAGCCTTTAGCAGCACTTTTTCATTGAAAAAAGCGCTGCCTTTACCTTTAGCAGCGCCACTTTTGGCAGCGCTTTAAAGTGCTGCTAAAGGTAAAAAAAAGCGCTGCTAAAGGTCTTTTTTGGCATAGTGTAGGAAAGTCAGAGGGTTAGAAAAACAACATGTTCTTTGTCAGAGACTTTCGTCGAATCTTTGACGTGGGGAATCTCGATATAATTTTTAAAGGCAGGTCGACTGAAAGAGAAAGATTTCTCAGTGGAGAGGGTGGAGTCGAAAGTCTCACCAAGGGAAGATAATCCAGTAATGGCCACTACGTTGAAGATAGTGGGCATCATCATGCCACACGGAAGGTGGAAGGTGTTAGTTGATCCCTCCCAGAAGTAGATCGACGCGATGAGCTGGAAGGGATTAATCTTATGGGTCTGTCTCGATATTTGGATGACGTCGAAGATGTCAGCCTTCTCCCATTGGGTCTTGCATTTATTTTGAACTTTGTCGAGCCAGGCCAAGTATTCTTTGTTGCCAGGGTTTGACATCGACTGAAAAACTCGGGTGTTGAGATCCATGAATTTTAGGTCGATAATGTTATCTTTCTTGGAAGCAGGCAGAATAACAGGGGTAAAATAATGGAAGAACTCTTGAACGTGTTTCGGGTGCGTTTTGGCATAGGGATATAGCCCTTGGAAAGCCAGAAGGTTGTCAGCCACCACAAAGGGTATCATCATTTGATGCTGCCAGTTTTCCACTGTTGCTTTATTAGTAGATGGTGGTTGATGGACGATTGTCAAACCTTTTTCAACAGTGAGAGTGAAGGCAATGGAGTTGTTATCGGTGACTGGAGTGACAGAGGCCATTGGAGTATTGGAAGCTTAGAAGTGGAAAGGATGAAAGATTTGGAGAAACGCATAAAGAAAAATAAGGATTGCAAAATATAGAAAATTTTCAGCGAATGCAAGGTGATAGGTGGAAATCGACAGTGGCGTTATGACCTTTCCACTTCACTGTAGTTGGAAAGTTAATGGGGGAAGTTGGAAAGCCCATCACCTAAGAAATAGCCAAAATCATAGCAATGATGTTAGCAGACGTGACATAAAGGCGAAATTTGGCAGAATGTAAAACGCCAGTTTCTCGATTGAAGGAAAATCTCAGTCGAAGATGGCCTTTTAGGGGGTTAATTTGTTAGTTGGAAAATTTTGACCAAGAATACAGGAGTATGGTCGATAGAGAATTGTGCAAAAGGTCATGTCAGAGCAACCTCGACATCGGGCCCATCGAAGAGGGCGTTGAAGCGAACTCGACAGAGAGACACCTCAGTCGAAGTCGAAGGAATCCCAAGGGCTTCGGGAAAACGAACAAGCTTGGAGCAAATAAAAGTATTGGGAGTTACCGAGGTAGTGGACGAACGTGGAGGACACGTGGAAGCGTAGGGATTGGGAAGCAGAAGGATAACCGTCACTTTTTTGCCTATTTAAGGAAGTGTCATTTTCAGTTTTAAGGGTCGCATTTTGTTGCATTAGGAGAATACACTCAAAGTACCAGTGTTAGAGAAACGAGTCAAAACTCTGCAGAATGTATGCATGCGTCCAACTTTATTTTCTTGATTAAGAAATTTTACTTTACAAGTTTTTCTTTTCCTTTGTTTGTTGTTTTTCCCCCTTTTCTATACTTTCCTTGTTATTTGATTTAACAAAATGTTCATCTACTGTCTATTCAAACCTAACAAACTAAACTAAAATTTCAACATACATTTAACACATAGTATAAGATTCTTGTAGCAATCTTGCACGTAAATTTCAATAAGAGGCTAGCGGTTGTTCTCCGAAAATGCCGTGCGAACAGTGATCCAAAGATTCATCTCCGAACGCTTTTGTTTCATATCCCAATCTAGACTACCTTTCCCACTTCCTTCTTGTTGATTTTCTGGAAAAAAATTCTCTTCCTCCTCTCAAGCTTTTGAGCTCTCTGTCCTATTCAAGCTTCTCTTTGTAGCAAACTTCTATTTTTGAAGCTCTAACTCCTCCATTCCAACATCTCATAACTCACACATTCAATTTGATTTGGTAATTTTTTAAATATTCTATCCCTGTTTGTATTTTGACTTGTAGTTAGTTGTTTAAGCTACATTAATTATTTTAGGTACATTAGATAGTTGTGTAAATGATTTTGGTAGGATAGAAGAACATGCATTGAGGTATTTTTGGGTTGCAGGGGACCTTGGATGTCGAAGGTGATGATGTGCAGGTTGAGTACCGCCGATAGTGTGCATTGAGGTGTTACCTCTTGTTCCTAGTTGGCACACCCATTTTTGTGTACAAAAGTGTAATCTATGTCGATGTGGTGTACCTTAAGTACTTCATCGACCTGACTTTGATTCATGAGTACAATTGGGGGGCATCCTGTTTGGTTTACCTATACTCGAAGCTAAGCAATAGTTGTCTTTGGAAGACAAGTAAATGACAAGGAGTTGCACGCTACTTACGATATTTTCTTGTTACTAATATTTTCATAATTAATAAACTTGTTATTAATATTATACCTAACCCATTTTCAGGGATGGATCATCTCCTACTTCCCTCGCATTATCTGGTGGAAAGTTGCGCCTACCTATGTTAAGGACTAACCACGTGCAACCGCTTTTGTTATATACAGGAGTAATAGTGCGGTCGAGCCATTCAGAGTGTATCTTGACCGTCATGTGCCAAATGATGTTTGCTTTTGCCCATACGAGAATCACCGTGGGACGCGTCTATTTGAAGTCATTTCCTTATACTGCGGGTGGCTGGCATATAGGTCATCTCTTATGTATCCTTATTTGCCTGAGTGAGTGATGCCCTAGTTTGGCTACTTACAAATTATTCCGAGACCTCTCTATGAGTCTGCCCCTCTTAGCATCTGCCACAAAGATCTTGGTGCGGTACTGGATAATTTTGAGAGTCACTCTAGAGAAGTATCACATGGTGCAAACTCTTGTACACTAGACTGTTGCTCACGACAACATGACCCGATTTCTATACGGTGTCACACCCTATCATGACACAAGACGCTTCTGGAATTCCACATAGACCAGCTAACTAGGAGGTACTTGAGGCTTAGGATGACCAGCCCGAGAGCGTGACGACGGTTTGTCGGCGTGTTATGGTAATGGGTAGAGCAAGCATAGAGTCAGGACTCTTTGAGGACGATAGGTCCTAGTTTCTCTCGTGGAGAACATGATTGTCGAGTTATGAAATGTTGTGCAGTACAATCGAAGGAGGAGAAGGCAAGATTTTTGACATGCATAGCAGTTTATGTTTGGATGTACTATTATTTTTTTTTGGTATTTTTTGGACAAATATTATGTATGGTGTTTCATTTTTGAATTAATGTATGAATTTTTACTTTCATTTATCTTTAATTAAACTTGATTTTACTTTGATTTTATGACAATATAATTTGGTTTCAAAAAATTATAATGTTGTGACAATGATGTTGTTCTGAAAGCATTCAGAGGGATTCTGGAGATGCATCCCGAAATAATCCCCCTTGCAATTACCACACTTTCAATACCAGTAAAAGGACTTAAGAGGATATTTTGGAGATGTACTTATGGATACACCCAAATAGTACACGAAAACGTATCTCCGAATCATATATTGATCAAAATGGGATGGATCTCATAATCCTGCATTTTGGTGTGGTTGAATGTGTTCAAAGATGTATCATCGAACCATATTTTAATCAAAATGGGGTGGATTTTAAAATAGTATATTTTGAAAGAGATGAATGATAACTTTAGTTTTTTAAAAGTGTAATAAGCACCACTAAAAATAAAATGAGTAATTCTTTTTATTTTTTACTCATATTTCAAATTTAAACTTTCTCTTTTATTCAATTTTTTCTTACTTACATCTCAAATCTAAACTTTCTTTTTTATTGGCTTCTTAGATTGAATATGTAATCACAACTCAAAACCCCTAGGCCCTAGCCCAAAACTCTACAACACATAAGACTAATTTAACGATGTTTAAGCCTTTTAGAAAAAACGCGTTTTTTTTTAAAAATAAAAATGTAATTTAAAAAATATTTTACAACGTACATATTTCTTTTCTAGAAAAATTGAAGTAAATTTAAGATTAAATAGTAACATGTTTTAAATGGAAAACGAATAACTAATATAAAATAAATAAAAAATTAAAATAGAAATTTTAATAAAATTCAAATCTATTTGAAGAACATAATTTTAATTTTAATATCTATATTATATATCTTTTTCTTTCATATTTTAACAAACGTTACTGTTACTGCGGTGGAGTACGACCGACTCGGTGCATCTCACTCTACTCCTCGTTTTCAACACTCAGGTTCATCACCCTTTCTTTCAAGTATGTTTTTTTCCTCTGTTCTCAATTGTTCCTATTTCCCTATTTCTTGTTACAATGTGTTTATTTACAACTTGTTTTTTTCACAGTACTATAAAAAAATGAGTAATGGCGAGGAAGACAAAGAAAATTCAGTTGTTGTTGAAAAAGTGGGAGGCAGATCATCAATCACAAGCTGCTTATCAAGATATCCCCTCAAATTCATCACACCCAAAAAGGTTTTTTCATTTTTAACTATCATTTTTGTATCAATCATTTTTTTTAACTGCCAATGTTAATAATTATCAATCAATTAGTTGTTAGGTTAGTGCTTTATCATTCACCAGATTTAAACCCTAGTTGTAACAAATTTCTGTTTTTTTTTCTTCTTAAAATCATTGCATAGGTTGGTCCTTCCAATATTGATGCAGTGTGGGTTTATGTTCTCAATTATGGAGGTGGAATTGTATCGGTAAGTTTAATTATTTCTTTAGTCTTTTGTGCTTTTCCCCTTTCAAGCTCTCTTTTTGCATATGATTTTCTACTTGTGTTTGCCTTGTGAGCATGGTCATCAATAAGAATCATTGTGTGTATCTATTTTGGACAACTCGGCAGCATAAACCCCGATTCATTCCGATGAATAGCAAGTTGCCCTCGAAGTTTGAGTAGTCAATCACTTTTTTTTTGTCAACTTTGTGTAACCAACCATTTTTGTTTTTGTCATTTTGGTTTGTGAGTGTTGAATTATTTTCAAGTTCATATATGGTATATTCGTGTATGTCTTTTTGCGTTTGTTAGTTGTGTGTTTTAACCAAAAATGCCATATTTTATGAATCATGTATCTTACCTTTAAAATAAAAATTGATTCTCGGTTTGGAAAATATGTCTTCCAATTCACAATTTCAATCTCGATTTGATAACCGTGCGTGTGAGGTGCAGGGTGATCGCATTTCGTGCAAGTTTTCTGTTGGAGATTCTTGCACCATGGTGTTAACTACCCAAGGATCTACTAAGGTCAGTTATTTTCCCCCCTTTTTATTGGTTTGTTATTTTTTTTACTTTAAATTATCTTGTGCACTATCTGGGGCAGACACTTATGATAATCACATTAACTCTTTGATTAGTTGTTTTTGGTCTGGGTGAATTTTGGTTTTTAGCTCAGCTTATCTTTAAGTTATTGATGATACTATAATTTCTTTGTAGGTCTATAAATCGGTGGAATCTAAGTGTTCTCATCAAATATTAGAGGTAATAACACTGTCTTTCTCTTGAATTTCTTGTATTATTTACTTGGCTTGTCATTTTCATGATAAAAAAGGGATTAGAATTGGTTGATTTTCCGTTCACTATACCTTTTGGCCGGTAAGATTTATGGTTGTGGCATGAGAGTTGCTCCTTCCATTCCATAACTGTGGACGTTTAAGGTTTGAGCACATAGATTAAAAGAAATTTAATTGATGTATTGTAAAGTAATCTTATATCTATACTAAAAGACCCATATTTAGTCCCTATTAGTAGTTCACTACAGGAACCTCTTTGAAAGTTAGACATTGCCGATCTAGCTACAATCTCTATGTTACTTTAAATAATTACAGTTGGAAAAGAAAAAAATATATTTTATTCTTGGATTTCTAAAGCATCGATAGTACAAAAAAAGCTAAAACATCAATAGTTTTTTAAATGAAAGGAGTATAATTTTGTTGAGATTCTAATATTTTGAGGTTGTCTTTTTTTTACATGATACACTTATGTTTCAAGAAAATTTCATCACCTTTCTTTTGTTATGGTTAGAATTTGAATATTTTGGTAGGATATTATAGTTATTTGTTTCATGTAAATTCCAATTAATAAGTAAAATTCTTCATAGTTATCACTGTCAGATTTGATTGTCTGGCTTTATCAGTTCCATGTGACAACAATTAAATTCATCTGTGTAGTAGGCTAGAGTAGGAAGCAATGCACTTTTGGCCATCATTCCAGATCCTGTAACATGTTTTTCCACTGCAAGATATTATCAGAAACAAGTCTTCACCGTGTCTTTGGACTCAAATTTGGTCATTGTTGATTGGATTACTAGTGGGCGTCATGAAAGTGGAGAAAAATGGGATTTTGATCTGTATAGAAGCACAAATAATATATTCTTTGATGATGGTCAACCTTTGTTTTTGGATACGGTAATAGTGTTTTTATGTTGTCCTTGGTTTTGCTTGTTATCAATTGTACTTCCAAATTGTTTGAGCTTAGATGATGTATACTTTGTTAAAATTATCTTATTCTCTATTTAAGCCTTGTTTTCCTTGTTATGTTATTTCTTAGCTACCCCTCATAATTTTCTTGTATTTTGTGATGTCAATTTTTGGAGTATCTTAGTAAATGCATGAAGTCGTATTGCATGCATACTGTTCCCTCTCACATTTTTCCTTTCAGGCCCAACCATTTATCTTTAAGATGGAAAATTAGACTTTGAGAATTTATGACTGAAAAACAGTCAAGACAATATCTTTTGTGGGTTTATTAATTAATCTCGTTTAGGACTAATTTCCAATGATGCAGATATAATTAAATTCAGGGAAATAACTATTCTAGTTTAAAAATCACGAACTTTAGACTATATAATGAGAAGCATGGTTTGTACACAGCCATTGTTAATTATAGATATTTTAACCATCTTGACACCTGTCACTTTAGCTCCTAACATGTTCTTGTAATTCAACGAAGAAGATAGGCACATCATTCAGATCCTGTGCAAGAATGTGGAATCTTGTTAGGACGGAAATGACAACCTTCAAATCTAGCAGCCTATGTCACTTTTATATCTTTCTTTCTTCAATACAGGCCATTGTGCCAATTTCATACCTGAAACTACATTGTGTTGTTAGTTAAAATGAGAGTACTCAAATTTTTCTGCATATGTTGCTCTTGTATCTCTTTCCTGTCATTTATGTTACATTGACAGCATGCCTCTTGCGCTAGCTTGAACTTTGAATTTAATCAATTTATTTAGTTACAAGAGATTTTGGAAAAGGGCAATATGTTACATCTTCTATCGAGATTGGTATCCTTTCCTTTCTATTTTTCTACTTATTTTGGCTTCATGTCACAAACAGATGTTACTAGAGAAAGACTCATTTGGTCGTGTAAAGGAACACATGTTGGACTACCAAGTAATTGCAATGATTGTGCTCCTAGGGTGAGTGGTTTGTATTGCCATATTTATTCTGGATTAATGTGTTATGTATGACATGCTTTATAATTTTAGGCCAAAGATGCAGTATATCCAGAATCTAGTGCAAGATAACGTGAAAAGAATTATGACCGAGCAATTACAGAATCCTTTAGCTGCATTGAGTCACCAAAAAAGCAAGGCTGACTTTTTCACGACAAAACCAACCTTGGTGGCTTCTTGCAGCGTGTTTGGTCCTAAGGTAAATTATAAATTAGTATCAGGGTTATTGTTTGTATTTTTGACATATTTTGTTTACTATTTACACCATGTGGTTATAGTACTTAAGGTCAGAATTGTGTTATTTTAGAATTCTGCTTATCTGTCCCGTTAAGCCAACTTAGATGGTAGCTGTGTAGGGACACCAAATGTAGGGGTGCGGGTTCGAGCCCGCGACATCCTACTTATTCATTATTAAAAAAAGGTGAATTCCAACCACTAGGAAACTTGACAAAAAAAGGAGTTCTGCTTATATGTAAATCCCAAAGATTCCTAATCGGCTTGGTTGTGGTCTATCTCTCATAAATGGAGAGTAGATAAACAAAGTGAATCCGGACTGCCCTGCAATATAGATCATTAGCTCTTTTGTTTTCATGGCATAATGAATGATGCAATGATTGGTTTACCTAGCTTTTCATGACTATGTAATATGGGTTACTTATGAATATTGCTGGCTGCAACTGCATTTTGCGTGCAGAAAATTGGTCTTATTGTTCGAGTGGCTTCCGTGACAACTGAGTCCGTTTACAACTTTCTTCAACATCAGTTGGCTCCCTTGGAACCATTGATTGGAGTGCCTCCTTACAGGTAGAGCGGCGTTAGTTGCAGACCTACATGTAAAAGAATTATACACTCCTTTTTTTCATGTATATTATATATTCACGGTAATAAATCTACCTGCTATTTAAAATTGGTGCTAAACTTCATCTAACTGACGCCAATATGTGAACCTTGTATGACTTCTCTTGCGTTGCTGGAAAAGTTGCAACTCTTGTTCATCTTTTATTTCTTGGGTCTTGGACATGCTATTATCACTAGGCCAAAAAAATCAATAGTTTATGTGTGCCCTTGACCTGAATCACCAACATCATCCTTACAACAGTTACAGAGTATCAATTCTATTGCTATTTGGTTTGAACAAGGGACATTGCATGTCGTTGCCTTCACTATGATACAATACTCCAGTTGAAGGACAGTGAAAGTGTTCCTACCATTTTAAACCTAATTGAACAAAATTTTGGAGGCATTGGACTTGGTAAAATTACCAAATTACATTTGAGATTTGAGTTTCTTGACTTCCTTAGGGTTAATATCCTCCCCACAACCCTTGTTATTTTTTGGATTACAAATACTCTTATCAATTATCATTCTTTTATTTTCCAGGTATCAATTATCATAGTTTATAATGTCCTAACATTGATCATATCTAAATCTAATGACTAATAATACTAGATATTCTAATATCCTGTAGCTTTTTTCCCTATAGATATAATGTATTATTTTTATAAGCAGAAATAATATATTCTGATTACATTTTTAATAATTGAGCTGAAAAATTGAAATAAGTAGCCAACTTTGCTTTGGTTGGAGTGATATTGAATATTATCAATTTTTACGTTTCAAAATAACTAAACATGATTAGAGTTTCTCAGGCAACTTATTTTAAGGGGCAACGCCTACATGGGCAATATGATTCTTACTATACCATGTGTTGTTGTTACTAATCCAAAGAGTTGTGTTGTGTTGATTCTTGTATGTGTAAAAGCAAGAATTGTCTCTACATGTTATCTCTATGTTTTGATGATAACAATTAAGTATTTATGAAAAAATCATTTTATGTTCTAATGTTTGTTGTGCGCAGATCATTAAATAAATATATCAAATCAACAAACAATATCAAGAAGTGCATGAAAGCCAATATGGAGTTACTTTGTGTGACGTGATTTAAAGCATAGCTTTTAAGGAAACTCTGAACGAAGAACAAAGTGAAACTCTGAGTAAAGTACCACGTGATATTCTGGATAAAGAATTTAAAGCGCCTATTCAAGAAGCAGTTTTCCTCTGTATCTGATCATAATCAGAAAGATCCAAAGATGCTGTATAATGGTGTTGCAATGCTCTTGTGGATTCTGTTCTGAGAAGTGTATTTGATCTGGAAGCTATCAATGCATCTGAGATGTAGTCCTCTGAAGAACCAAGCTCTGAAGACTGATGACTTGAAGATCTGAAGACAGAATGCTCTGAAGACCAAGTGCAGAAAGACTCTAAAGACTTAAGGGTTCTGAAGATCAAGACTTTGAAGAAATAATCTTCTAAAGAATCTGATGACTTGAAGTTCTGAAGGCTGAAGGCTCTGAAGACCAAGTGCAGAAAGACTCTGAAGACTAGATTATGAAGTTGAAGATTATGTAGCAACACCCTGATGAAGACGTGTTGATAAACTCTGGTAAACAAGTTCTGACGTAAGACTCTGATGTTATTACACTATCATACCAAAGTAGTTTCTGAACTACTCATCAGATACATCATCAGAAGAAGTTAAGCCAGAAGCTGATCTGTACAAAAGACAAAGTAAGTGATGTAACTGTACTTTCCAACATGTGACTATTCTATCCGTTGGAGATATGACAGTTGAAATATTTGAATGGACATCTTTGTCCTCACAACGTATCTCTTGGATACACTATAAAAGAAGAACATTTGAGTCATTCAAATGTTGACGCTGCCGTGGTTGCAGTTGACGTTGTTGTTGCTGCTGTTTTGCTATAATCAGTATGCATAACCAAAGGAAAGTTTTTACGCTAAGAAGCTGCAGTGCTCACATATGAAAGCTTTTAAGCAATTTGGAAACTACTGTTCTTAATAATCTCCTTGAGATTCATCCTTAGATTAGTTTCTATATTAGAATGCAAGGAGTTGTTGCTCAATACTTGCTCTGTACTAAATTAGGAGTAACCTGCTTATCAAGTAGCACTCATGTAATCTCCTGCAACATAAATTTTATTTTTAGAATTATTGGTTCCTCAAGTGATCTTGTGAAGATCAGTATACTTGAGATGACAAGTGACAGTTGTCATTTGTGGGATCAATGAACGCTATATCCTTAAGGGATCCCTGGACGTGTCATTGTCCATTTGTTAGTCACTTGCAATTAGTTTGTGCATATCTGTAATCAATTTGGTTATAGTGGATTAAGTCCTTGCGTGAGTAAGGCGAAATCACCTTGGAAGGGTGGACTGAATTAGCTTGAGGGTTGTTCAAGTGAACCAGGATATATCTTGTGTTCTTTACTTATATCTTGTTTTATATGCTTCCGCAACGCAAAGAAAAGAATACTATAGAAAGCAATTTAAAAGAAAAAGATTAAAAGTTTCCGTAGAGGAAATACCCAATTCAAACCCCCCCTTTCTTGTGTATTTTTCACACCTTCAGTTGGTATCAGAGCCTGGTTCTGTTATTGATGGATATCAAACAGTGTCAGATAAAGATCCAAAAACATGTGAAGAAATACTCCTGGGGATTTTTCACTCCTCTTACAATTTCAGTCTCATATCAGTTTCTAACGGAGATGAGTACTAAAATTGTATTTAATGTTTTTTTTTTGTGAGCAAGTCAGTGATTCACTGAAGTTTAAAGTATTGAAAGTTTTCAATAACAAAATATTCTCCTCTAGATATTGAAAGAAGATTGAAGAATCAGGTGACAAGAGAGATTCATCAGAAAAGAAGTTTTTCTGTACATTAAATTAGCTCAAAGGTCAAATCATAAGTAGTAAGAAATTTTGTTTGCTGAAGATTAATTCCAGGTGAGTATGAGATGTTTTCAAGAAACGGATTAGTCCACACTTGACTTTCTCATGAAAAGCTCATTGGGAATTTCTCTTTAGTAAGTAAAGAAATTTTGTTGGCTAAGAGAATTTGACTCATAAGAATTTCAGATTATAGCATGCACATGTAAAGAAGTTTAATAACTCTGAGTTTGTATTAGATGCTGCATGGATAATTAAGTTCTATTAGATTGAGATTTTATCTGAGTTGAACAAACTGTAATTGGTCAGATGTTTTTCTGATATGCTTTCTTAAAAGGTAATAAGGATTGAAAACTGAAGTCAAAATGTCAAGAAGATTCAGTGACAGAAGTCATTCAATCTGTTTCCTGAAGGAATTTAAGTTACTGGGGTTATTCATGAATAAGTCAGTTGACATTCCTTTCAAAAGCAAATCCAGATGTCATTCTGTTAGCTGCTTCTGGAAAACTATCTCTGAAGAGCTTCTCCTGAATCAAATCTTCTCACCTAGAAGAGATGATTAACAGATAGAAGGAGAAGTCATCAGAAGTCTATCAAGAAGGTTCTTAACTACCTAGAAGACATATTCTTCTGTGACAAGAAACTCTGAGAATCAGATTATACATGGCTCTGAAATGTCTGCAACAAAGATTGTTTCTGGATAACAAGAACATCTGAAGAACGAAGATCTGATCTGATCTGAAGCGTTCCTCTGGATGACAAGTTTTCTGAAACACTCGCTAGAGCCAAGCTGCATAGATCTGAAGCTAAATCTGGAACCTCATCAGAAGATCTGAAGATTATTCTGATAAGGGAAGTAAGAGAATTTCATCAGAAGATCTGAAGCTTAAAGAAGATGAAACTCCTTCAGAAGATCTGAGCGTGGTTTAAACGTCTCACATTCTCAAAAACGTCAGTGGCACAAAGTCCGCAACCACGTGTCATTTATCTTCTGACTGATGGAAACGATTGAAGTGCACAAAAAGATGCGCCGTTCATAGCTACTATTCAAATTTATTTAAATTCTCACGTTTGTCAGTACCATTAAATGCATTTCATCATTGTTTATCTTGTTAAATGTGTTAATTAAATGACATTAAATGCTAAATGATGTTTGAGTGTTCTGTGCCCTAATTGTTGCCCATATATATTCCACATCTCGTCAATTGCACAATTTTTGCCTTCTACACCAGCATATGCATTTTTGCCTTCTACACGGTTTCCTCTTCTCTCTCAAACCCAAAACCCAGAAAACCTTTTCATTTCCAAGATCATCAACTATGGCTTCATACTCATCAACATCCGCTCAACTTCAATCAATAATGGCTGCTATCAGTTCATCCATCGTGAGTACAACTGGATACAAGGAACCTGTAAGAACCCTTCTTACTCCAGTTGAAGATTTGGAAGTTCTCTGTGAATTGTTAGTGGATTTTGAGTGCATTGCCAGAAATGGTTTTGATCTTCGTCCAACAGTGAAAGCTCAATGATGGTCTAAGTACTTTGATCGTTTGGTTGGACCTGTTTATCCTCATCTGGTCAAGGAATTCTGGATTCATGCAGTTCTCTATCCCAAGTACATTGTATCGTCTGTTCTTGGCAAAGAAATTATCATTTCTGAAAAATTGATAAGGAAATTAATTGGATACGCAGAAACGGATGGAGTTACACATCTTCAGGCTGATCGTGTAAATATGGAAGAAATGTTTACTGAAATTATGAAATATGAACAGTCATCTAGCCAGATGAAGAATTTGAAGACCGTTTACAAAATATGGGCCAAGATTTTCCTAAGTTGCATCCATCATAGGAAAGCATCCAACTCACCAGATTATGTGAATGCTGATCAGTGCTATTTCATGTACTGTTTTAGCAAAGGAATCAAGGTGGATTTACCCTATGTTTTGTTTAATCATCTGTGGAATCAGATCAAGCAAACCAGAGAAGTTTTAAGGTCTAAAATTCAAAAGCTCAGAAACTGGATTCCTATGGGGAGACTAATCTCAGACATTCTGATTGAGAAT